AGAATTTTGTCTGTCTTGGTAAATGCTCTGCATATACTAGAGGAGAATGTGTATTTTGCTGGTACTGGGTGAAGTGTTTTATAAACGTCCATGAGATTATGTTGGTTGATACTGTTCTTCAAATCTACGATTATTTACTGATTTTCCATGTACTTGTTCTATCAATTATTGAGAGAGGGGTATTGACAGCTCTGACTATAATTGTGGATTTGTATATTTCCTCCTGCTGTTCTATCAGTTATTGCTTCATGTATTTTTAAGCTCTGTCGTTGGGGACATAAATGTTTAGGATAATTATGTCTCTTGATTAACCTACCCCTTTGTCACTATGAAATGACCATCTTTATATCTTTTGATATTTTTGCCTAATGTTAATACACATACTCTAACATTCTTTGACTAGTATTCTCATGGTATATGTTTTTTCCACTCTTTTGTTTTTAACCTGTTTATATTTTTATATTTAAAATGCATTTCTTGGGGCCGCCTGGGTGGCTCAGTGGGTTAAAGCCTCTGCCTTCGGCTCAGGTCATGATCCCAGGGTCCTGGTATCGAGCCCCGAGTCGGGCTCTCTGCTCCGCAGGGAGCCTGCTTCCTCCCCTCTCTCTCTCTGCCTGCCTCTCTGCCTACTTGTGATCTCTCTCTGTCAATAAATAAAATCTTTAAAAAAAAATTTAAAAAAAATGCATTTCTTGGGGTGCCTGGGTGGCTCAGTGGGTTAAAGCCTCTGCCTTCGGCTCAGGTCATGATCCCAGGGTCCTGGGATCGAGCCCAGCGTTGGGCTCTCTGCTCAGCAGGGAGCCTGCTTCCTCCTTCTCTCTCTGCCTGCCTTTCTGCCTACTTGTCTGTCAAATAAATAAATAAAATCTTAAAAAAAATGCATTTCTTATAGGTAGCATATAGTCGCACCTTATCTTTTTGTCCTATTGTCAGATTGCCTTTTATTGGGAGTATTTAAGCCATTTATACTTACTGCAGTCATTGATAGGGCTGGGCAAAATGTCTATAATCTTACTATTTGTTTTGTATTTGTCCCATCTGTTCTTTGTTCCTTATTTATTTTTATTCTGCCTTTTAGATTGAGTATTGTTTGTAATCCCATTTATCAGATACCTTTTAAAGAAGGTAGGTAAACAGATAACAAGTAAATACAAAGTAACAAAAGTGGAAAGAACTGTGGAGGAAAGCAAAGTTGGAAAAATGAATAGGAGCAATCTGGTTTGGTAATGAGAGGAACTTGGTGGCAGGTTTTGGTAAGATGGTCAGGAAAGGTGTGTTACCTGAAAAGATGACATTTAAGAAAATGGAGTGAATCATGTAAACGTAAGAGAAGAGAATTTCAGTTAAAACAGGATTGTAAAAACCCTGAGGTTTTTCATCATGAATTTGCCTCTTGGGTTCAAGGAGCAGCAAGGAGGCCGTGTGGATAGAGCAGAGTACATAAGTGGATCATGAGAGCAGAGGGGCAATGGAAGCTGAGTTGTGGAATACTTTGCATGAGTTTCTGAATGAGATGCTGGGCTTTGAGCTGCAGGGCTTTGAGCTGGAAATGATGTAATCTAACTTAGGTTTAAAAGGATGACTCTAGCTACTATATTGAGCATAAACTTTGTGGGGAGGGGGAGCAAGAAAGGGAAAGCCAGTGAGGAGGTTTTCATGATAATCCAACTAGAGATGATAGCTTAGACCATACCTGTGAGAAATGGTTAGATTCTGAGTATTTTGAAGATAGACATGAAGGATGTGCCGATGGATTAGATATTGGTATGAGGAAAGGAGAGGGTTCAAGAATGATTCCACAGCTGGCCTAAGGAATTGAAAGGATGGAAGTATATTCTCTGATGTAGAAACTGTGGGAGTCAAATGTCTGTAACAACCTGGCACATGGTAGGTGCTTTGTATTGGGAAAGGCAGTTTTGTGCATGTAGGCTTTCAGTCCCTCTTGGCCATGACCTTAAGAATAGGCCTGAAGCCCAGAACACTTCCTTTACCAAGAAATAGAGTCCTCACATCCTGTGCTCCTTCGTTCTGCTCATGTATCATATGGTACCTGGACAGCCCCAGTGCTATATCTGCCCTGTTGGGGGAGGGAATGGAGTCCTTCTGCTACAACACAAGAGGAGAGAACACAGGCCAACTGCTCTGTGTGGGTGCTAAGAGGGACCTGCTCTCTGCCGTGCAGGGGCAACTGACCCCCACTACTGATACCAATCTTGATCTGTTTCTTCCCTATGTGAGTAGAGTGCTGTTCCATTCAGTGCTTGACTATTGTGTTTCCCACAGTGACTCCAGTACCAAAATGTACCAGGAATGCTTGGATTTCTACTCCTGGTGATAGGCAACAGATGTCACTTGCTCAAGACTTTGTAAATATTGAATGAATAAATGTATGAATGGGAAGGTTTGGGCTTCAAGTTAGGGGCTGTTAATTTTGAAATGACTGTTGGGCCTTTAAGTGAAGATCACAAGTAGGCAATTAAAAGTAGCAGTTTGGAGAGCAGGGGAGAAGTCTGCTGGGATTCTCATGGAAGTCATTAGTTACCACTTGAAAAAATTACAAAATAATTTGGAAAGAATTGGGTGTCTCCATAATGAGTGTTTCTAGCCAACAAAAGACGTAGACGAAAATGTTCATAACAGCGTTATTTGTGCTCAACCTAAACTGGAAAACTATATTCATCAACAAAAGAATGAAATAATAAATTGTGGTATCATTGTAGAATGGTATTCTGTAGTACTGAAAACAAATGAACTTAGGTATGTGCAACAACACTGATGAAGACTGACAAAAGAGTTCTTTCTGTATGATTCCATTCATACAAATAGGGCTAAACTATGGTGTTAGAAATCAGGCTACCTTAGGGGGAGGAGGGAGCAGGTAGTGGTTGGGAGACAGCACTAGGGTACCTTCTGGAAGGCTGGCAGTGTTTTCTGTTTCTTCACCTGTGTGGTGATTATTATACGTTTGTTTTATCATCATTAATTTATACATTTAACTGTTGGATACTTTGGGGGATATTTTTGGGATATATAGTACATTTGTAAAAAATAAACTGTCATGTTGAAAAATTGCCTCTCAAAGAATTTGTTGACCAGACTCTAGTTTTGAAAGCTGTACTTGACTCCTAGCTATCTTTGTGATTTTAAGTGGTCATGAGGCATTCGAGATAAACCATTTCAACTGTGGCAGGAAGAGTATCATAGAAATAACTGAGTTCCTAATCCTGGAAAAGAGACGGAACAATAACCACCAAAGTGCAGAGTTTAGCATACCTTCCTTGACATCTAAAATACCATTTGGGGGGTGCCTGGGTGGCTCAGTGGGTTAAAGCCTCTGCCTTCGGCTCAGGTCATGATCCCAGGGTCCTGGGATGGAGCCCCACATCGGGCTCTCTGCTCAGCGGGGAGTCTGCTTCCTCCTCTCTCTCTGTCTGCCTCTCTGCCTACTTGTGATCTCTGTCTGTCAAATAGGTTAATAGAATCTTTAAAAAAATTTTTTTTAAATACCATTTGGTTTTTTTTTTTTAAGGTTGGAATTTAAAGTGAATGAGAGAAATCTCAGTAGGAACTCCTTAAGTTTAAATATTGCATTAAAGCTGTATTCCCCATAGATGAAACTATGAAAACATTATTTCTCAAAAGAATGTAGTAACCTTATAAAGATAGACTTCAGTTAGGTATGTATTCATTGTTTTGAGCTTTGAGCATTGAGGTAAATCCATAATTCCATTTTAATATTTATACAAGGATGTTTACCTTTCAGTATATTAAAGCTACCTATATATACAGGGTAGTCACTTAAGACCCAAATCCCAGTCTTCTATATCTATGAATCATGTCCTCTTTGATATTTTGATTTCATTGCCTCAACTCCCCTCTGAAACTACAGGCCAAATCTAGCGAGAAAAATACAATGAGAATAAATACAAGCTCTTACATTTAGGTTTGAATTAAGAATGTGAAGGAATGATTTACCAACATAAGTGATAAAGTTTCAAGAGGTTTTACTGATACCAGATCATTCTTCAAATGGGACTACCCCCTCAAAAGGTTAATGTCGTTGTAGGTTGTACTGCGTAATGAGAGATAGACCACACTCAGCACGTTACAGTCAGTTTGGGACACCATATTTTAAGAGTGACATTGAGGGGCGCCTGGGTGGCTCAGTGGGTTAAAGCTTCTGCCTTCAGCTCAGGTCATGATCTCAGGGTCCTGGGATCGAGCCCCGCATCGGGCTTTCTGCTCAGTGATGAGCCTGCTTCCTCCTCTCTCCCTCTCTGCCTGCCTCTCTGCCTGGTTGTGATCTCTGTCTGTCAAATAAATAAAATCTTTAAAAAAAAAAAAAAGAGTGACATTGACAAATTAAAGCTCATCCAAAGGAAAGCACCGGGTTTTGAGATGTTGTAAAAATGGATTTATATGACTGAAGAAACTAGTACTCTGAAGTCTCACAGCAACCCTGTAAGGCATTATCCCCATTTGAAGAAAGGAAACAGGCTCAAAGATAACTAATGACTTTTTTTTTTTTTAAAGAATTTATCTACTTATTTGACAGAGAGAGATCACAAGTAGACCGAGAGGCAGGCAGAGAGAGAGAGGGAAGCAGGCTCCCTGCTAAGCAGAGAGCCCGATGCGGGACTTGATCCCAGGACCCTGAGATCATGACCTGAGCCGAAGGCAGCGGTCTAACCCACTGAGCCACCCAGGCGCCCACTAATGACTCATTAAAATGTTACTGAAAAGTGGTTAGCTCAGGGCTCACATCTCTTTGTTTTTAAATTAGTATCCTTTTCATTTCAAAATACTTGATTTAGTAATATTTTTTAAAAGCTGGCTGTTAGCCCCTATAGAGGAGAAACTTGAAAGTGTAAGTGAATGGTTACAGATTAAATGGAAGGAAAGGGAACATTCTGAGTAGGAAGATCAGTGTGAAAAGATATACATTTACTAGTATTACAGATTGTTTTACCCACATTTCTCTCACTCTCGTCTTTTCCAAGGTTTTTGACTCCAGTGAGGAATCTGGGTATCTTGTTCTCACCATCGTTATATCAGGTCATTTCTTCATTTCCCAAGGACAGACACTGCTGGTAGGTTTTATGCATACAGTTTTATATGCAAATATATTTCTTTATCTTTGTAGCTTTACATTAATTTTTGTACCCTCAAGCTTCTTCAGGGCTGCAGAAATTCATCATGTTCAACAAATTAAGCATTTATCAACGTTCTGTAGCAGAGGGAAATACAAAAATATACTGAATATTGCCTGGCCGAAAGGGGTTTATGGTTCTGTTTTGGGAGCCAAAGTGGATCAAAGGATTGAGATTAACCAGTATTAGAAAGGATTCTTAACTGGGGAAATTGGGTTGAGACAGGCTAAATTTATGGAGAAATGTGTGGAGGGTTTTTCAGAGAGGGTATAGATCTGAGGAAGTAGCTAGAAGTAGCTAGAAGAAAACTTGAAGCGTGCTATTATTAACTTCCATAGCCCTCTATAAAACTAATTTTATAAAGGTCCATTTGTCCTTTAATCTGAGCATATACACACACACATTGTAGGAAATTTTTGAAATGAAGAAGTAAATAAAGGAGAAAATAACAGTCATTTTGCTTGAAAGTTTAGGTTTGAATTGGTATTTAGAAACAAAATGAAAAAACAATGCAACTTATAGTCAAAGAAGTGTAAAAGAAAGAAATGGAAGGGAAGAGTATTATATCCTTTGCCTGTGAGTGATATCTGTATAGACATAATAAATTCATACAAATATTTACTGAATATCAACAGAGGCATAATTTATTCACGTAACAGATATTTATTGAACAGTTATTATGTGCTTGGCATCCTAGATGCTAGGGATATAGCAGTAAACAGCAGAGACATAAATCTATCATTGTGGAATGTCATTCTTGTGGGGAAAGACATCATGAACAAATAGGTCAAATATATTTAAAAGATATGAATTTTTGGTGAATCCCTTACACATTCTGTTTGGATGGCAGCATCCCATAGTTGTATATTGCGATGATTCATCTCTCCACGGAGTGACTTGCAAGGTCCTCTCTGTGTTCCTTGTGATTTTTAAAACTGCAGCAATGGTTGTATCATTTTTGCTTTATTTGCCCAGTTAGGGCTTGTATTAGTTGCAGAGGATAAGATGTCTTCTTCAGCTTCAAATGAAGAATATTCCAGACGGTGGACTGGGGATGCCTAGCCCACAGCTAGTTCTCCTCTGTCAGTATTGTGAGTCTTTGCTGAATGATGACATTAAGGCAATTTGGCTTCCTTACACAGGGGGCCACCTTGTGCTTTGTCTGCTTCATCTGTTTGTACCAGTGGTAAATGTTGTTACAGACTGATAGAGGTTTCTTTGTATCATACATGAAAGGATTTTTGCAATGCAGTTACAAAACTAAGTTTATCAAATTCCACAGACCCACTACTGAGAAATACAATGGTAACTCTACAATTTGTTGCCTGTTGCATATACATATATACCGTATATATTGGATAATATATTAAAAAAAATTCTAAGTAGGGTCCATACCCAGTATGGGGCTTAAACTCATGACCGTGAGATCAGGAGTCCTGTGTTGTACTGACTGAACCAGCAAGGCGCCCCTACTGGATAATACTTTTAAAAAAATCTTTATTAAATGCTTTTTAAAACTCCGTTTTATTGAGGTGTAATTTACATAAACTCAGTAATTTTTAGTGTTCAATTTGATGTGTTTTGTTTTTTGAGAGAGAGAGTGCCCACATGCACTCAAGCGGGGAGGAGAGGGGCAAAGGGAGAGAGAGAGAATCTTAAGCAGGCTCCACGACCAGCACGGAGTCTGATGCAGGGCTCAATCTCACAATCCTGAGGTCATGACCTGAGCTAGAATCAAGAGTTTGATGCTTAACCAACTGAGCTAGCTACCCAGGCACCCCTGATGTGTTTTGATAAATGAATATAGTTGTATAACCATTGCTGAAATCATGATGTAGAACATTCCAGTTATCCCTGATAGTTTCCTTGTACCACTCTGTAGGCAGTCTCCTCTGTCTACTCTTGGAGATCTGCTTTTTCTTGCCATTGTTTTCCTTATCTAAAACTTCATGTAAATGAAAACCTAGGATATGTAGTCTTTTGTATCTGGCTTTTCCACTTAGCAAAATGCTTTTGAATTCATCCATATTTGTTCCTTTTCATTACTGAATAGTATTCACTTATCTATGTAAACCACATTAGCTTATCCATTCACCTTTTGTTAGACATTTGGGTTTTTCCTTTTTTTTTTTTTTTTTTGTTACTATGAGTGATGCTGGAATAACCATTTGTATAAAGCCTTTGTATGAATGTATATTTTCATTTTTCCCTTGATAAATTCCCAAGAGAGGAACTGTCACTGAGTCACATGGTACATCTGTGTTATAAGAAACTACACAGCTGGTTTTCAAAGTGCATTCCCACACTGGGTGTGAGGGATCCAGTTGTTCCATGCCCTTACCAACACTTGGTATTGTCCTTCTTCTTAAGTTTAACTGTCCTAATGGGTGTCTAGTGACATCTCATGGTAGTTTTAACTTGCATTCCCATAGTGATTAGTGACATTGGACAACTTTCTGTGTGTTTACAGGTATACCTTAGAGGTATTGCAGGTTAAAACCTGCAATATGTTATTAGGCCATATAATAAAATGAATATTACAGTATGGTGAGTCAAATGCATGTTTTGGTTCCCAGTGTATGTATAAGTTAAGTTTACTCTACATTGTAGTCTATCAAGTGTGCCATAGCGTTATGTTTAAAAAAACAGTGTACATACCTTAATTAAGCAGTACTCTATGGCTAAAAAATGTTTACCACCATCTGAGTCTTCAGTGAGTCATCATCTTTTTGCTGGTTGGGGGAGGGGGGGGTTGGTCCTTGCCTTGACGATGCTGCCTGCTGACACATCCGGGTGGTAATTGCTGAAGCTTGGGGTGGCTGTGGCAATTTCTTAAAATAAGACAGCAGTGAGGGGCACCTGGGTGGTTCAGTCGGTTAAGTGGCTGCCTTCAGCTCAGGTCATGATCCCAGGATCCTGGGTTCGAGTCCCACATCAGGCTCCCTGCTCAGTGGAGAGCCTGCTTCTCCCTCTCCCCCTGCCTGCCTCTCTGCCTACTTGTGCTCTTTCTCTCTCTGTCAAATAAAGAAATAAAATCTTAAAAAAAAAAAAAAGACAGCAGTGAACTTAGCTGCATTGATGGACTCTTTTACCAACAACTTCTCTGCAGCATGTGATGCTGTCAAGATTGCCGCAATTCAGTCCCATCTTCAGGCTCCACTTCTAATTCTAGTTTTCTTGCTGTTTCCACCACAGCTACAGTTACTTCCTCCACTCAAGTCTGGAACCCCTCAAAGTCCTCCATGTTGACTGGAATCCACTTCTTCCAAACTCCTGTTAATACTGATGTTTTGATCTCTTCCCCTGAATCAGAAACATCTGAATGGTACCTAGGATGGTTAATTCTTTCCAGAAGGTTTTTAATTTACTTTGCCCAGATCCATCAGAAGAATCTCTAGCTAAGGGAGCTATGGCCTTATGCAGTGTATTTCTTAAACAAAACTTGAAACTCAGAATGACTTTCTGATCCATGGGCTACAGAATGGCTGTTGTGTTTGCAGGCATGAAAATAATGTTCATCTCGTTATACGTCTCCATCAGAGCTCTTGAGTGACAAGGTGCGTTGTCAATGAGCAGTAATATTTTGAAAGGAATCTCTCAGAGCAGTAGGTCTCAATAATGAGCTTAAAATATTTAGCAAACCATGTTGTAAAAAGATGTGCTGTCATCCAGACTTTGTTGTTCCATTTATAGAACCAGGCAAAGTAGCTTTACCAGAATTCTGAAGGGCCCTGGGATTTTTTGGAATGGTAAATGAGCATTGACTTCAGCTTCAACTCATCAGGTGCATTAGCCTCTAACAGGAGAGCCAGCCTGTCCTTTGAAGCTTTGAGGCCAGGTGTGGACTTCTCCTCTCTACCTGTGGAAGTCTGACATGGCATCTTCTAATATAAGGCTGTTTCATCTACCCTGAAAAATCTGTTGTTTAATGTAGCCACCTTCATTATGATCTGCTTCATTATTGTCTGTTATAACCTGCTGCTTCACCTTGCACTTTCATGTTATGGAGACGGCTTCTTCCCTTACCCCTCCTGAGCTACGCTGTACTGGCTTCAGACTTTTCATCAGCAGCTTCCTCACCTCTCACAGCCTTCACAGAATTGGAGAGAGTTAGGGCCTTGCTCTGGATTAGGCTTTGGCTTAAGGGAATGCCATGGTTGGTTTGATCTTTTATCCAGAGTGCTAAAACTTTCTCCATATCAGCAAGAAGACTGGTTTGCTTTTGAATCATTCATGTGTTCACTGGAGTAGGAATAACACTGTTAATTTCTTTCAAGAACTTTTCCTTTGCATTCACGACCTGGCTGACTTGTTTGGTGCAAGAGGCCTAGCTTTCAGCCTATCCCAGCTTTCAAGGTGCCTTCCTCACTAAGCTTAATCAGTTCTAGCTTTTGATTCAGAGTGAGAGACCTGTGACTCTTTCACGTTGAACACTTGCAGGCCATTTCTTTCTTTCTTTCTTTTTTTTTTTTTTTAAAGATTTTATTTATTTGTCAGAGAGAGAGAAACAGAGCAAGCACCTGCAACACACACAAGCAGGGGGAGCAGCAGGCAGAGGGAGAAGCAGGCTCCCTGCTGAGCAAGGAGCCCGATGTGGAACTCAATCCTAGGACCCTAGGTTCATGACCTGAGCCGAAGGCAGATGCTTAACTGACTGAGCCACCCAGGTGTCCTTAGAGGCCATTTCACTGTGGGGTTATTACTTGGCCTAATTTTGATATTGTTATGTGTCAGGGAATAGGGAGACGCAAGGAGAGGGAGAGAGCTGGGGGAACTGCTGGTCAGCGGAGTAGTCAGACCACACAACATTTATTAGTTTGCTGTCTTAGATGGGTGTGGCTAATGACTCCCCGGAACAATTAGAGTAGTAGTATCAAAGATGACTGATCACAGATCACCCTAACAAATACAGTAATAATGAAATAATTTGAAATATTGTG